TTTTTAAACTACAGACCTTGAACAACATGAGTAGCAGCTGACCAAGTTTCTCCACACAACCCTCCTGCCAAGAAGGACAGCCTATCTCCCAGTGAAGGGAGTCCATTCTTCCCAGCCTGCTCAGCCTCTGGCTGCACTCGAGACTGCCAACAAGGGGCCAATTGTGAAGTAAGTCTGTTACAGATACCTCTTCACTAGAAACGGTAATCCATTTATCAAATGATTTAAGAGAAACAACCTGTATTGTTCCTCTGCCCCAGTTTCTGTTCTGTAGCTAATAAATGATGTTTCCTTTCCTAGCTCCACCTTGCTTTGCACCTTCTGCACAAACTGCCCTGATCTCCAGCTTCAAAGACTGAACTCATCTGCAACAGAGAAATTCAAGCATATTTAGGCTTGGGACCACGGCTACTTTTTACTGGAGCCAACTCTTGATGACAGTCTCGGTATTTACATGATAATATCTAGACAGAAGCCACTGGAAAACCTTGTTGAACCGTGTCCTTAAAACAGTGCAGCCTCCTGTACACTTCAGCAGCCAGAACAGGTGACTAGAGCAAACGGGAACAGACCATCTCAAACTGAACACAGTCAGTAGATATTCACACCATTTAATTAGGGCCTTGATTACAAAGCACACGTTCCCCGTGTCATGGGCTGGGAGAGTGAGGAATCCAGCTCTGATTATTTCAGCTAAGAGCACCTGCGAGCTATGTGGGACACAGCCCAGAAAGGAACATGATCTTTAAATTACTCAACACCTTCTAGATCCTACTTCACTGCAGACATCCATAAATGCCTAAAATAATAGTAGTTAGCCTCTTTTCGGCATGCCCACACTCTATCACTCCAGAACTGAAGCCCTGTACATATTACATCTCCTTTTCCACACTGGGAAGAATTTCTGGTCATTTTGATCTCTTCTACTGTCTTCCTCTGACACTTGATTTTGGGACAAATTTCAGAGCAAATAAATCAGTATTCATAATGTTACGAGATTTACTGATCTCTCTAGGAGGGAGTTTCAGTTTGGAGACTGCTGTTTATAAAATTGCAACTTTCTACCTATACAACCTTTTGGGTTGGGAATGAAACGCTATGTTGTGGTGACAGCACGTACCTTTATGAAACAACAATCAGGACTTCTAAAGAAAATTGTTAACAATAACATTTGTGCAGCACACTAGTTTTAAGCTACATTGTTATGATAACTCAGCTAACTATCAGGCCTAAATTCTGTAGATATAATACCCTTACAGTGAATGAAAGTCAATCAAGCACGGCGCATAGATCCCTCGTAGACAATAAACCCAAGTGTTTACCATTTTGCACTGATCACCATGGTGTATTTAAGCTTGAGAGCTTGAAAGAAGAATTGTGAAACTGGAACACTAGAAGACACGCCTTACCAGTTTTCAGAAATAAATCCCTGCCCCACCAAACTTTTAAATTCTAAAAACTGACCTGTCCTGCCAGTTGTCAGCTGCTGAGCCTCGGTAGTCACTATTAAATCAAATGCACAGAGGAAAGACTGGACAGTGGATATACCAAGGTGCAAAACAGTAACTGAGAACTCCTGGACCTTCAAATCCCACAAGGTGTGTATTCATCTTACAAAAAACTCTGACCTGTAAAAACCTTGTGACATCTGTGATCACGTTCCTGAAGACATATTCATCCTTCTGACAGTCAAACCAGCCCAACTTTGTGATCCTGGCATATAACTGGATTAGTGCTTGTGTGACAAATGTTGCCAACTTTGGCCTAGTGGCAAGGTAGTTGAGCACATAGTTCCCTGAAACACAGAGAAGAGCTGTATCTGTAGACAACAATCTCGGCAGATGGAACTGAGATGGTAACACTGACAGGAAAAGCATGTTTTTGTAAGCTGTTTAAGAAAATAAAAGCAGCACAATAGTGGGTTCGATACCAAAGCTGACCTTTTACTCGTGCCTTTAACATACTAAAGATGTGGAATAGATCTGGGAAGTGGCTAGAGAGGTGAGAGTTCCCCCCCGCCCCAAGCCTAACTTGGTTTGTGGTATCAGATGAAGCCCAGCCCTCTGTAAGCACATGTAAAGAGCAAGAAAAGCTGAAAATATTTCAAGACCTTTCCTCAGGGATGATCATCTACCACATCATTTGTAAAAAAGAAAGCAGGCAATGGCATCCAGACTCTTTCCTTGCAGGAAAGGAAGTATCAGCTGTTCTCCAGGAAAGAGCAGGCAGACTGCTCCCTTAGGAAATACTCTAAATGATATTTCAGAGAGCCACAAAGGATTTTCAGTTTTGAAAGCACATCCTCAGAAGAGGCAGGCACCACACATATTTTATACTCCAAAACAAATTTATCAAATGCAACTGGTTTATTCACAAGACCACAGAGTTGTCATTCCTTTCCATCTGGAAAAAATTTATGAACTCTGTTAGGTGACAATATAGGTGAAGGTGTCATCTAAGAGAAATGTTTCTTTGTCTTTTGGGCATCCTAAGGTATAGGATGCCCAAACTCTAAAGCACAGTAGCTTGCAGAAAACCTCCCACCATGGATGAAAGTCATACGACAAACATTTGCATTAGTTTGGTTAGAAAAATTAAGCCTTGTACTTACGAATATCTATTCGTTGTTCCAATGGTAAAGGGTTGTTTGTGCGTGACACGAGTTTTGTAAGGCATGTAGCTGCCAATAACTGGGAGTAGGATGACTGAAAAATAAAAAAAGGACAGACACAAATAGAAGTTTACTGCACACTTTAGAAGATGAAGCAGCAGTGCTGGATTTTTAGCTAATTGCTCTCTAGAAATTCGAGTTCAAAGCATTAACTGGTAAGTATAATATTCTATGTAGAATAAATGCTATGCTTTTATAGACATTAAAGTCGACCGAATACTTGAAGAAAGTGTTTAAGAAACAAAGGAAAAGCTTTTAAAGAGTGGAAGACATCGGGACTGCCCCTGAAGGCAAGGAGTAAAATTGCAGAAGTAGTCAGACTGCATGAAGTTACCTTCAACACTGTGCCCGAAGACTGCAGAAGTACGTTACGATACGTTAAGAAGCACTTACAACTTCCACTTCATCACTAAACAGAGGTTAAAATTTATTTCTTACAGAACAGCACACAGCCCACTGAACTTTAATTAATCCAGGGACACAAATGATGGCCTTCAACCACCTAAAAACCCTGGCTGCGCCCAACTCCATACATCCCAGCCAGGGAAATAACAAGCATTTTGCATGCTGGTTTCTGTGATTCTGTAGAAAGCTTAGTATCCAAGATGCAGGAAGCATCTTTATTCCAAGATTCTCAAGGCCAGTCAGGTATAAAGTGAGTCAGATCCCAGACTGAACAAAAAACCCCACAATCCTCTGGCAAGGGTCAGGGAGGCAGTGGATCACATGCAGAGAATAAAATTGGGCTGTAGGAACTTTCCTTAAACAAAAAAAGATATATTTGTCCTCAGGGAAACCAGTTATTAGTTCCCATCAGAAGAGCTTCAAATCAGTTTGTTTATAATTCACTGGACTTCAAATTTAACAAAAAGTTAAATAATTGTGTAAGTTTGCTAAGCCTGTTAAGTATCACTCTTCTCCCCCTCCCTTCACCACCTCCTCCTGGAGGACTTATTCTTTACAACAGGCTGTTTAACGTTACCTATTTTTGTGAACAAGGCTCCAATCTGATAGATATGAAAGCTAGATGCACATTCTGCCAAAAGTCTTATCTTTCAAGATCATGTGGCAAAGCCATTTTAAACATTATTTGTGCTGATACAAAGAAAAAAAAACAAGCGGCCACTTCAAAAGAAGAAAGCTAAAGAAGTCAGGCAGGATTTACTGCTGGTGTATTTCACATCCTTTCTGTAACACTAATTCTAAAGCACATGATCTAATTTCCCCTGTTTTAAACTGCTGGATTATTAAGACAACACTCTAATAGGGGCAATTTTCCAAGGAAACATTCCAGAAGCAACACGGCTGGTTTTATCCCCTATGAAGTTCCGTGCCCACAGCATTTTCTCCCCAAAGCCTACAGAGGAGGCAGTGAGTTCCCACAGTCTGTGAAACACCACTGCCATAATAATGTTTTCAACTTAAAGCTTGACATGTCTGCGTGGTAGCCTGCGAAGAATGCAGCGAGGCCCACAAGACATTAGAAATGACAACCGTTTGTAGTAACCACTGCAGCAGCATAATTAGCCATCAGCGCCAATGCTTTTTTTGGCAAGGGCTGCCCACAAAATTGAGATACATGAGAGCATACTGGGTATGGAATATAAACACTGCATACCAGACCCTGCGGCTATTTCCCTTATCAATGCCCAAAATACCAAGATCTATTTTGGACAGCTATATTGTTTTACATACACTCCCTCTTTCTAGAAGAAGCTGGCACTTGCTCAGGCAGTCTGGACTGTTGGTGAACTCGACCAAGGCTTTCTCTGCCTGGAGCCGTGTCGCAGTGTCTGTGGTCTCATACAGCTGCTTGCACAGGTTCTCTAGCTGGGCTAGGCTCTGGAACACAGGAAAACAAATCAGTTAGAAACAAGGGGGTTTATTACCATTTAATTACGCAGCTTAACCCAGGTTATACGTATGTACACGGACACACACAGATAACTTTACTGTTTGCGCAAAGGAAGGAAAATGCTTAACTCATAATTAGTTCATTCTTTCATCAGCTAAATGCATTTAACCTGCTAAGTTACCTGTACAGAAATTTCACAGCTGTCTCTTTACACCTGACAAAGTAGCACGTTGCCTCCCCACTTCCACCTTTTTTACCCAAACTCGCTCCCAGGGTCAGCGCTCACCCAGCCTGACCGTACCGGTCCAGAAAACCTCTTACATTTTGTGCTGTAACGGCCATAATCCTAACCTGCCCATTTCAAATGGCAAAAATCCCATCCTCACGTCTAGCTTTTATGTCATACAGTGTCAAATCCCTCTCAAACTTAGTTTATATTCCCTTTGCAGGGCGCGGTAACAGACTTCAGCAGCTCAGGATGCTGGAAGGATCTCATGTTAAATCTTCTACACCACACATGCCCAAAATACCTAAAGCAGAACAGAGCAAATGAAGAATGGGATGGATGCCTTTGAGCAGTGTCTTTGTGAACGCGTTCGAAGGGAAATAAAACTACCAGGCAGATTCTGTGTGCTCAAACAACTGGAAAATATTTGCCATAAACTCTGATCCAGGCAGATGGTTTCCTCCAGTGAAATCTTAGGTGTCCTAGTTAAAAAGTGGCTTCACAGATGGATATAAATATTCCCCCAGGTTCTTACTGCTAGATTAATAAGCAGGTATTTTCAACTGCTCTAGGGCTAACAATCTAAGTTTCCAGGGGTAAATCATTACAAGCATACCATAATTTTTGTGCATCTATAAAAAGGAAGAGAGCATTGGTTGCCTAATTTATTTTCGGAGGAGAGATTGTTATGGAAAAGCTGAGTTACCGACAGGGTCAGACGATGGCTCCACGCACCACATCAGCACACAGCTGAACGCTTTCTTATACACAAGCACAGCAATTCCACGCCAAAAAAACACAGAGGAGATTTTGATGCTCTGTTGCCGAGATGATCATCAGATAAGACAGTGTTAAAAGAAACACAGAGAGGGGCCCTCTGCAGAAATTCTCTTACCTTGTACCATATTCCAGAGCTGGTTTTGTTTTTATTATTCTTTCTTTTAAATAACAACCTCGTGAAAAAAGTTGCCCTGACAGCTTCACTACTTTAGAGAAATTAGAGAACCTTGCCAAGTGCCAGACAGCAGTTCAACATACAGGTTTGGTTTTGAGAAAAGCAAAACCCAAAGACTTAAGCTCTGCACAGAAAATCTTCAAAAATCTAAGATGGATATAAACCATTATTAACCATAAACTCTTGTAAACCATATTAACTCTGGTTAAGCATTTGTCAGCACCTGTCAGTTCTCATTACAAATCCACTTTCAGTTATTTAAAATCAGTTGGCAAAGTCTACAGAGGAGGAGGTGCCTGTTTATGTGCATCATCCTCAGCCCAAGGACAAAACACCATTGCCTCTAAATTTCCAAAATCCTTGCCACCATTTATCAATTTGAAAAGCCTCCAGGATCATCCAGTCCACATGCATACGATGGACCGAATCCTCAGGAAGTGGCTCAGCCCACTTCCACCACCCCAGGACAGTGAAGAATTGCAGCCCATGGTCCCACACCGATGAATCACGTAAGATTTTGAACAAAAAAACCAAACCAACAACTGAGTTTTAAAAAGTTTTACATCACCATGCATTAATTCTTCAAAAAGCTCAGGAATGGGGTTTTCCCTACAGTCAGCTTTCTTCACACCTCTGAGAAACGCTAATTCCCTGCGACTTCTGTGACTCGGTGGCAATAACCACGGCTTTTGTGTGACACTCGCCATGACAAAACACCCTTGTTTGTGCACAGTGCGTGATCCGTGCCAGCCTTCTTACAGATTACAGTTAGTTAACTCCCTCGGAGCCAGAGGAAACACACGACCTCCAGGGCTTAAACAAAACGATGACAAAACGCCAACTGCACCAACCAAATAGCCTGTCTGCTGCCCAAGAGATATGGCACACGAGGCCACTGTTAAACGCCCCATTAATGACACTGTGGTCATTAAAGCACAGTTTTACGGCAGAAAAAAAATAAATAAAAATCACACAGATGGAAAAGCTAGTCCAAATTATCCAGGAGTGTGAATCCAGCAACTCAGTGGGAAATAAAAGCGCACTCTATTCATGTTAGATTAAGCCAATCATCCACAGCAGGTTTTAAGCATATTTTTACTATCACGTCTTTTATTGTGCAGTGTCAGCTGTCCCGATTATCCCTGCCCAGGCAACCCTGAAGTTGAAGTTCACTTGATGCTTCTTCCTCGCGGTATACCCAGATCTGTGGCTGCAGAGGGGGCTGGGGGATTATATAGAGGATTTTGGGGCACAATACCAAAGCCTACGAGGGCAACTCAAAGGAAAAGCTGCTGTCCAAACTTGGGAGTTTTCATCCATTATTTCAAGTTTGTGAACGGTTATTTTATTATTTAAATTTCATGTGCTCAAATATCCAAACAAACAATATTCATGATAAGTTGTCATCCGACCAAATAAATTTCTCTGATGAAAACCTTTTTTGCATCAATTTACTGGTGAGACAACCCTAAAAATTCTTTCCTCCTCTTGCACCCTAACTCGATTGTCTGTCACACAGACAGGCAGAGCAGTCGAGCTGCCCTGACACCGCATGCCGGGTCTGCAACGTTTACGTTTTCAGCACATTTTAAAATTGCCACAACGAGGGCAGTGGAGTTCCCCTCCTCTCTGACAACGGGGTGGAAATCAGGCAAGCCTTAATCCATCACCCAGCTTTGAAAGTCAGAGATGTTTGGGTGTTGATGGTTGCAAGTAGGTGGGGATTATTTCACTAGAGACCAGGCAATACCCACTCTTTCAACCAAGATAGAAAAAAAAAAACCAAACCACCCTAACGTAGTGTAACGATTATGCAGGGCAAGAGCTCTGCATATTCTAGATAAGGAGTAAAGCATGAGACAGCAGAGTATTTGAAACGGGGAGACACTGGCATCCCACAAGTGCTGCAGGAGCACGCACGGAAAGCAAAAGTATGTGGCTGGTGACTTGAGAAGAAAAATACCAACGCAGACAATTACAACTAACCAAAACCTGTGTTCATCGCTCCTTTGAGAATGAACAGCTCCAAAAACTTTTTGTAAAAAGAACCACCCAGAAGCTAGGGAAGGCAAGGAGGTGAGGGCTCGGGAGGGCTCTGCAGCTTCAGGGCAGTGGTTGGGGGGGGGCATTTTAGGAGGAAAACAGCTGAGTCACGGGAGACAGTCCCAAGTGTCAAACACCTCCTGCCTCAGCCCCTCCCAGCCTTCCGAATCGCTCTTATCTGCTCCTTGCATGACGGCACTGAAATCCCAGGATTTTTGTGCAGTTGCACAGACCATGTTCTATTAGCACATACTAACACACCCAAAGTACTTCGTGCAGCAACAAAAAAAACCCCTCACATGGTCCAATTTTTGCTTATACATTGCACTACGAAGGCTAAATGACAACCCGAACCACTGGTCATCTCCCAGCTAGGAAGAAGTGACTTAAATGCACACTAAACCACCTAAACTGCTGCTAAATTTTTCACATAACCACCTCTCGACTCCAAGCTCAGCACAGATCATGATCACTTCACTTCTCCTACACTACACACATTTTTTTCCCCTTGACACCAAGATCCAAACAATGCCTATGCTTTTCCCTCCAATCTAGTGAGGCAATTAATGCCTATTAATGGAAATCTGTATCCTATCTCAGTGTTCTTCTAAATCCAGCTTCCAGGCATGACACCTTGTTATGTCGCCATCTATAAGTATTTTTCCTTTTTTTTTTTTTTATTTCCAAACAGAAGTTGAGTAAGTTTATGTCTCTAGGAAAAATATCCCCAACCAATATATTTTTGATCCATCTCCCCAAACTGAAGTTCAGCCCTACACTGCAAAGCACCGGAGGATAATGGAACATACCCTACAATTGACTCTGACGCAATCATTCTGTATGTGGTAGAAGTGTTTTTCAACAAGGGGAAATCTATTTATCAGAAACCAGCAAAGGTGACAGATGATTCGTAAAAATTCCACTCCCCCCCCCCAAAACAGCAACAAGCTCCAAGGGAAGTTTTGCTGCAGACCCAGGTCCATTGGAGAGTGGGGGGCTCCTTCCCACCGGAGCTTGCATGGGGTGAAGCTCCCTCAGGCTGTGGGCTGCAGAGTCCTGAGCAGAAATTGCCAATCCATCAGCCTCGTATGAACTCCGCATCACGTTATTGCTTATTTCTTTAATAATATCAAACGCTGAGAAGAAATGAGTTTTCCTCCATATATGGAAGCCCCTTTGTATGATCTTGGCCTCAGATGTTTGTCCACTGAGAGCGGCTGTGAAGCTCAGAATGTGGAAAAAAAACCACCCCAACTTATCAATCTCATTTATACTACAAGCTACAAATAAAACTCGTCACTGTTCAGTGTTTTCCCCATGGTGAAGATAAACAATGTGTGATCATCTTTAAAATGATAAATACTACAAGGAAAGTAACAGCTACCTAAAAGGAGTCCCCGGGGGATGGCTGGGGAATTGATCTTATATTACACGGTTGCTTAAGCAACGCTCTTTACATCCAAGGGCTGTAATAAGCTCTAGGCAGGTTTAGTTCAATAGAGTTTGACTTTGCCATGCTGACAGTTCCCATTTCAGAAAATTGAGGAAACGCACGCTGTGCTCGGCGTACTCAAGATGGCAGAGCCAGAAAGTAAGCAGGAGCACACACAGCCGGCCCCCATCGCTCGGGGGGAGCGGGCAAGCAATAACCCTACAGATTCAGACATCTAAAATGGAATATTTGGCTTAACAAGATCAATCCCAACTTTTCTGCTGCCTGGTGGTTCTTGTCCTGAAGGATGTGTATTGCTGCAAATCCTCCCAGCACACATTGTTTC